TCAAGCATTTTGAGTTGCCACCAGAACAGAAATAGAGGGCAACTCTTCCACTGGTTGACTTGTTCCTGGGACAGTTGTCTTAGAGGGGATTTCCCTCACATTAGATATCCTTTCATTTCCTGTTGAGTCTAAAGGTCAGGAATTGAAGGGAACTCTCTCTCTAATGAGGAACAGATGCAAAAAAAATGTTTACAGCATTTTTTTACTTCCCTTAGGGTCCATTCACAATATAGCGGTGACCTGCATGTTTCTGTACTAGATAGCATAGGTAACCGCTAGGGCACATAGAAAACAATCCCTATTTACACCACAAAGTGGGTGCCATAGTTTGTGTGTTGCGGAAAAGGGCAAAATGTTTACCACTACCAATAAAGTAAAAAAAAACAAATGTAAACAGATATACTGCACACTGCCAGAGCTGTCAGAACATACAAACCCACCCGTTGAAAGGGAATGCTAGTGTGAACGGGCCCTTACACTTTCCACAAATGAATTAACGCTTTGTCTTTAGCTACGCTTCGCCTTGTTTCTGTTAGTAGACATACATGTTTGCATTTCTGATCATGAAACAACATTTTTTTTTCTGCTGAATTCATAGAGATACATTGATAATCTACAAAGTATTAATGTATTTGTTTATGTAATAAATCTAAAACAGCAGAGTTATAAAGTGGGGTAATAACAAGCAGAATCTAGACCCAGTGCATCTGGAATCATTTGTGTTGTCTAGACAATTTGCAGATATAATTCTTATAGGAGTTGGCATGAGAATGATGGTTGTTGAGTGCCAGAGTCCTGGGGCATAGAGATGATTTCTGAACATTGCTACTGCATACATCAGAAAGATTAATGGCAACAGACTTTATAATGCATAATTCCAAAATATGTGAGGATAATTCATTATTGGTTGTTTTAGCCTGCATGAGCAACAGAAGCAAGAGAAAGCTGTTGGCCACAGACGGTTTAAAGGGAAGACATGCAGGTTGGTAATTGAGATAGGAATGTCTTGTCTGTGAATGTGTGTTACTCATAACAACCTGATAACATTCACCATTCATAATTTCATCTGCGCTGACAGTAGGAAAGCACTTTTTTTTGTGACCACCAGAAGCAGTTCTTTTCAGACTTTTTTATAATGATGTCCCCTTGTATTACACACCGGCATTAACTTCAGGAAAATAGATAAATACTCATATAGGAGTGGTTTTCTGTGACAAAGTATTTGTAATTTTGTTCAGCAGGTTTTATGATCCAAATATCCCTGCCAGAAAGCATAATCAGGTCCCAAAGACTGGGATAAGGCAATACAGCCTTCTCCAAGACCTGGCCAAGCTTATTGGACACTGAGGGCAGGTTCACACCATTTTCTGGACCAGATCTGGAATGCACTGTGCTGCGTTTTTGCTGCGTTTTTAATGCGTTTTTGATGCGTTTACTTTTAGGTCTTGCTGGGGGACCTCTGCAAGACCTACAGATAGCCAGGAAAAGAGCAGCACAATGCTTGCACATAAGAGACAAAAACTTACCACAGTTGTTCCTTTCAGAGCTGCTCAAATGATCATAGCCAGGGACAACCTGGGCAGCAATGCCTCTCCACTTGTCCATCTTCCTATTATTGTTCTTATATTGCCCATGCCTAGGATCATACAGCTCTGGGCAGGCTTCCATAAGTTCTGCAAAGAATTCGATGTCCACTTCAGCCATCATGGTTCCTATCTTCACAAATCTCTCTCTCCACAGAAGAAGGACGTTCAAGGGTGATGAGATCATCCAAACGAGCCAAAAAAAGTTTGCATTTTTGACGCGTTTTTGGCACATTTTTGACGCATCTGTGCACGTTCTGCTCAGTTCCAGACCAGACAAAATGTGACAGTATTTTTCTGGTCTGGTCTGGAACTGACTGCGATGGTGTGAACTGAGGCCAAGAAGAGCATAAGGATACATTAGAATGCATTTTGGGTCCAGAAACAATCTAGTCTGGTCTGGAGGTGATCTGGAGGTGATGTGAATGGGCTCAGAAGGAGAACCAGCATACTGATTATGTCATCTGCATGCTTTTTCCTCCTGTGTATGTGTTCACTTGATGCCTGACAGTACTGTTCAAAGCAGTGGAACTCTATTGGTTCAGAGCAGTGACCCTCCTTCTCCCAGTCTGTACAGGCATTTTACAGGCTACTGGTAATGTGACAGGTCCTGGCTAGGTCTGCGTAAAATACATTTAATTATTATTTAATGAATTCATAACTGAAGTAAATTGTGTTACTACTGTTGGGAGTTCAGCTGTAACCTATTAAGCGTTATCAAGGCTTACTTTGTCTTGTGACTAGAGTCATTCCAGTCAGGAGACTTTGGTGGTGTGATTTTGCCACTGGTATATGGTAATATAAAAAGTCATTCCAACTATCTCTGAAATTTGAGTATAAGGTAGACTATGCCCATTAAAGTGTACCTGTATTTGTAAAATGTTGGTGCGTCTTTCTCTCACAACCTTCCCTGTCCACCCCTACACCTACCTCATCCCTACCTCATTTACCCTTCCTTTCTCCCATTATATCTTCAGTTTTAATTACCCTCATGTTTTTTGTTATGGCATATACTCAAAATAATTACAAGTCTCAGTTGTTGTTTAAATCCAGTCTATATTGTAATTTAGTGTAATTGTTGTTATTTTTTTTTAAACACTCAATAAACAAGGGTTTACCCAAGTGTACCTGCACATATATCTTGTCTGACATCATAATTTTAGTGAAGGCTCATAGGTTATGGCAGCCTACAAATTTCTGTTAGGTTTCCTGTTAGCTTTCCTTTTTTGAGCTACAGAGTGCCCAGGCTCAATAAGGCCATCTGTCTTACTTTGTCCCTTATAAAAAAGGGCAGAGGGTTGTCCGGGCTTTCATGACAAGCTAGTGTTTGGACAAAGCTAGTTGCTCATAAGATCATTACCATAGGAAGCAAATCAACAGCTGGGAGCCAAAGTGCCCAGCTTTTTACTGTAGTGCTGTGTTTTACATTGATTGGTCTTGTGCTTACTACACTGGTGAACAGAAACAGGAGCATTTATACCTTAGGAAAAATACTATGAGGACCCAACAATGTTGCATTTTAACTGTCATCCATATCTATCGTTAGGAGAAGAAAAAAAAAGTATTTGGGTAAATCTTTCAAAATTGGGCAAAAGAAAGAGTGTCTTGCCTACTGATCACCCAGATTCAATGCATTATTTTTCTACTGCAGGTTAGGAATATGTCACATGCAACAGATATACATTTTCCAGGTTCTAACATGTTCCTTTTTCACTTTATTTCACGCAGTGTTTTAATACCAACATATTCTACACTCTTTGCTTTTCAGAGCATGCTGATCTATTCACATCCTTTCCTGTCCATAAAGATTCTAACAATCTATTGTCTCTACCAGTTATAAACACATGCGCACAATCAGTAGAATCAATTAGGTCAGAAGCCAATTCATTTCCCACCAAGACACCTATAGGAAACACATAAAAAATTCTGAAATATTATTTTTATATTGGTTTAACAGGGGGTGTCTACAGAGGTTCCAGTTTAGGTATAAACATAGAACCATTTTCCGATTAGAATGATTTGGACATGTTCGTTTAATCATCGCCTTATGTCCACATTTATGCACAGTTTCATACAGTACAAACTGTAAAGTTAATAGGACATTTGTATTCATGCTCACCATTTAGATCTGGGCAGTACTTTGTGGAGTTAATATACCATGATGTGAATGTTTGCTATGTGTGCCCAAAATAAAGAGGATCATATTAAAATGGTTTGAACTTCCTTTAAACACATTACATGCATGTATTTTATCATGCAGGCTTTACCCTGAGGCACCCAGTCTGCTCCTCATCTTATCCATTTTGGCATAAGTATATATATATATATATTTTTATATTTAAAAGGCATAGACGTTATACATGTGATATTATATTTGCTAGCTACTTTGTTTGCATATATTTGACTTACTTTGATTTTTGGCAATAAGCTGCATCTCAAGCATTTATCTGAATGTGCATTATATATTACTCATACTCATCTTGATGTTTCCTTAAGTATTAATATTTATTATTATTATTATTTGATTCAGTTGTGAATGGTACATAGATCCCTGCCTAAAACTAACCATACAAGGGAATAAAGTGCTTGTATAGCCGCTACATGTCAGGATCCCAATGGCTATTTGGGAGCTCTGATATCTGCCACAAAGGCTATAGTCTGTGGCCATTCATTAGTCCGTAAAAAAGCTCCAGTTAGCTGATTAGCTTCAAACAACCCCATAGTTAAATAGTAAAAACATTATATCCCAATATCCTTTAGTTTGATTTTCGAGCAAAGGAATGCCAGAAGAATGCAGCAAAGGTAAGTATAGGTGATATAGGGGGTGGGGTTTTAGGAGATAATGAATGGGCAAGTCTCTTCACAAACACCCTAGTAAGCTTATTTACATTACCCTGATCATATTTAGAGATGGATAAAAAAAACAATACCCAATGCGTTCCCTTTAAGTTTGCATTTAAATTGGTTGTTGTGTTTACCCTATTGGCCTTTTTATAAGAACGTGTCTGTATTACATAGGTCACTGCATTGTTGCTCTGTTCCATTGTGGATGCGATTTTCCATATTTACATCTGTTATTTACTTTTAGTATATACAATGCTGCCAGAAATAGAAAGTGAATAGAGATCAAATGTGATTTTGGCTTGTGTTCTTTGTAGTCTGGAAAGTATAACAGACAAGTTCTTGGTCAATGACTGCTGTAGAAGTGCTGGTCTACCCCTGTTATTGTAACCTGTCCTCCTCTGATAATATAAAAACAGCGCTCATGAATGGGGTGCGTTGAGGGAAAGGTTGTGCATAGAACCTAGGTCAAAATATCAGGCATCTCTGGAGTTAGACTGACATGTTATACGATGTACAGCCCTTAAATGTTTATATTGTCTGTAATTCTTACCATGATTTTACTTTTCTTTGTAGGCCTGTCCCGGGCTCTCTTTCCTCATTATTACATCTGCACAACCGACAAAGACAACCCATGCCCGCCTCTATGCCTGGTACTCTGCCCAACCCCACCATGCAAGGGTCCTCTGCCGTCTTGATGCCTGTGAGTTATATTACCTATATTGCAAACACTAAGGAGCTATATAAATAAATGGGATTGCTTTGTGATGCTACTGTTTCCTCAAAAATGTTGTGCTTCGGGGACAGTAAAAGAAAGGAACCTCTATAACTTGTAATCCTTAGTATGATAAACCCTTACGTTCAAAGCTCTCTGCATTTCAGTTTTGCTGGTAGTCAGGAGTGATCCTGGAAGTTGGCAGCCAGAAGCAGCTACTTCACAAAAGAAAAACTGCAGCAGTCCTTCAGCAGTTAAGATACGTCAGCTATACCTCATCATCCTCTACCAAAAATGTGCTTGCTGGAACTTACATTACCTTCACAGCTGAAGAAACAAACCTTGTCCAACCCTTGACACAATCCTTAAGCATTTATTAATCAAGCATCATCCTGTTTAAAAGGATAGTTCACCTTTGTAAAAAAAAATAGCCTTTGCAGTCAAGAAGGCCCAGTAGGTAACAATAAACTAAGCAGCTTTTAAAAATCTTCATTAATGCATCTTCCATACATGTAGGCCATTTGTGCCCTCACCAAAGCCTGGCCAAAAAACACCCAATAGTCTACAAAGCTCTGTCCTGTCTTACACCACTGTCCTTGTTCTATGCATGTGCAGTGTGATTTGTTTACTGATGCTGTAGCTGACAGGACAAAGCTATATAGAATATTGAACATTTTTCAGGCAGGCTTTGGGGGTGGGGCTGGTGCAAATGGCCTACAAGTATGGAAGATACATTAATAAAGATTTTGAAAAGCTACAAATTGACTTAAAATTCAGCCTAACATTATTTACTCAAACAAGTAATATAATTTTCAGATGGGCCTAGTTGTAATGCTTTGAATATGTATTTGTTTCATAAAAAATGCTGCATTATGTTTTATTATGCTAACATAGTCCAATGGCTACTTAGCATGTATCTAAACTAAAACATTAAATTGATGAAGGGTTAAAGCCCCATGTGAAGTTTGTATTGCTGTTTATTTCCTTTCTTTGGATCTTTACTGTTTCCTCTTGTTTCGCTGACCATTGTCACCAGTAGAGAAAGTGATGAGAAAGTTTCAGTGTTATGGTTGTCAACTGAATGGGAGGTGAAGGGAAGTCTTCCAAGAGGAACACTAGTTTAGGAGACAGCTGTCTTGAAAAGGATTTACTGTCTCTTGGAGAGATGTCCTGCCAGTTCCTGTTGTGCTTCGGGGACAGTAAAAGAAAGGAAATCTCCCCAGTGAGATGCATACAGCAAGATAACAAACTCAACAGGGGTGTTCACCATTCCCTACTTAATCTGAACCTAAAAAAACAAAACTTTTTGGCTTTAGGTATAATTTAAATACACAGATATCAGTATAGTGTACATGGTTATACATTTTATGAGATGTTGCAAATTTTAACATTTGCTTTTAATGTACAAGATGTTATATACATATTAAAGGTAATCAATAAACAATCTAAAACATGGCAGTTTCTTGTCTCGTGATAAGAGATCTTGCCAGATCTTGCTCATAACTAAATAAATAATATAAGGGCCTGTGTCAAAGAACTTTGAACCTATGTCAATGGCATCAGTATGATTTTAGTTCAAGATGCTTCTGAGATCATTCAGAATTCATTGACAGGTGCAATTGACCTCCTACTGGCCTGCATTTGACCTGCTTTAAGTGGGTTTTCCATGCCCTTAAACCTGTCTAGGAATACAAAACCAGTCTGGCACGATCAAACGCCCGTTGACACAGGCACTTATCAGTGCCTTAAAATTTCAATTCCTTAGAATATAATGCTTACAGGCTTACATGAGAGAGAAAAGTGATAAGATAATTCAACAAAGAGAAAGTGTCCTAGGTCTTCAATGGGAGAAAGAGCAGTAAAGCAAATGCGCTCTAGCACTTCAATGCAGGAATCAGAGCCTATACATGTAATGAGAAAATATGCTCACATGTACATATATAATTTCTAATTATACATCCAAACACGGTTTTTAGAACATTCACATTAATAGGATTATTTACATCAACCTAAACTCTTTTGTATTTATAGCTAACAAACTGTGAACACATTATAGTCTCTTTAGAGTGTATGTGACTCCATTTTTTAGTTTCATTATTTTTGTAGGAATAAAAAAACAGTAATAAGTGTGCATACATTTTATTTTTATAGGTTTGTTCCTAACTTCCAAAGGTGCACATTGACTTGTTGTCAATGGTGTCTGCACAGTGCCCAAGCATGTCTTCTTGGCCATGAGGAGCATGTATGTTTATACACAAATCTTTGTAAAGTTTGATCAACTGCAAGTATGATCTTTTCCCTTCCATCATGTCTGTTGTTACCCTAAAATGACCATGTCACTAAAAAGAATAAAAAAGCTACTTAAAGAACATGTTTCATACTAACCTGGCCTGGTACTGGGTGTGTTGGATGCCTGCATTCCCTGCTGCACTCTGTAGTTCCTCCTGCCTCTATGCCACAACAGTAGATTCTATAAAGATTCTACAAACGGGTGTAGGAACAGTTAAGAAACCATTAAATGGTTTCTTTTGCATTAGTTTTTTTATTCCAAGCACAGCCACCAGAAAAGTGTTCAGAATTCTTTTCAGGCAGTCCTAAACATTTGAACATGTAAACTAATACTTTCTACATGCCTCTTTTAAGGGAGATTTGTAAATTTGCCCGACTTATGTATCAGCTTGTTCCTCAGTGACTGTTGGCACTAGGAAGTAGTTTATTTTATATTTTATATATTATATGTTTATGACTCAGAATTAGAGCTCTGGAAAAGAAGACAAAAAAGTTTCTATTAGTTCAAGAGTGTTTCTTGGCTTGTAGAAGTGTTTATGAGTGGTTGCTGAGCAAGGAACAGTACATAAGACACCTGCTTTAGTCCATCAAGGCAAGAAACACCTATGTTAAAGGAGAACTATGGGGTTAAGGCTTTTCCCCATAGCTCTCCTTAGGGTAACGGGAGGACACAAACTAGCGTCCTCCCGTCACCCTAGGCTCAGTATACCATGAGCTGTAGCTTGCGGTATACTGAGACGCCGCAGCTGAACCGGATCCCGACAATTATGCCAGGATCCGCCCAGCTGCGTGACTGACAGCTGACTCTGCCTATCTAGAGGCAGAGCCAGCTGTACCCGCCCCCTTCCTCGTCCGTTCCGCCAGTCAGCACTGGCGGATCGGATCAGGGAGGGGGGAATCCAGCCCCTCCCCTGTCACGGCTGACAGCCGTGACAGGATCGAGAGGTGAGCGAACGCCGGTATGTGTTCGCTCACCTCCCGGTCTACTGAGCCGACCTGTGACAGTCTCATTGTCACAGGTTGGCTAGAACTATGAGGTGAGTGAAAAGCACTCACCTCATAGTTCTCCTCTAAGCTCAAAAAGGCAAAGGACTAGTCACTATATGATTTTCAGTACTGGCCTGTCAATTACCATTTATAATTAATTCTTTCCACATCAGCAGAGCTTTCAAGCCACTTTCTAGATACCTGGATTTTCCTCCTTGAATTTTTTATCTGCTCTCAGACAACTAGCTACGTGACTTCAAACTATGTGACCTAACTTCACTGACTTGAAGTTATTATGAACACATCTAAGGTCTGTATATATGTAAAATGTGAGGGAGAGCAGATTGAGAGAAAAACCCATAATTTTTCCAAAAACTAAACTAAGACGTAGTATCAATGAGAAAGCTCCCACCAAAGTGGTTTTCTAGTTTTGGGAAAAGTTGTGCAGGGTTAGATAGGTGTAATATTTTGCAATTGCCCCTGTAACAGCAGGGGAGGTGAAATCTCCCAGTGGTAACATCTGTTCCTGTGACCACTGTAAGAGATTAAATGTCCCCTCATTATTTGTGTCTCCGGCAGAGCAGATACCAGGCACTGACAGTGACAGGAGAGAGGGTACTATATCTACTGTATTTTATATGTAGGGGCCAAATAATGAATTTTGGAGAGGTGTTTCCTTTTATTGCCTCCCCATGATGCCTGCTTTGTTTTTCAGAACAGGAAATTAGGCAAATTTCCACAGTAAGGACAGAGACAGCAATTATATTCTGACAGACATTTGAACCCTTTTGTATTCTATCTATACTTTTAAACACATTTTGCTCAAATTTTCACTTAAAGCATCATCTAATGCATGCATTTCCCTGCACTTGACATAGTGAAAGAACAGTTTTTAGACTCCTGTCTTAAAGTATGTATAGAGTGGAATGTGTAATTCTTGGTAAGTAGTGGAAAATTGCCATTAAGGAGTTTTAAGAATATCAATAGGTACCCCTGAGGGTATGGCCTGCTATACCCCCAATTGGTCTGATTGTTCCCTTCATCTCTCTCAGCGCTCGCTGTCTTTGTAAACATCTGTTTAAGGAAAGAATTCAAAACATAGGTAACTCGTGTCTAAACTTGTATGATTCCTAGACTCACATCCAGGTTCAGATTTGGGACTCAGATGAACATAATACATGTATTAGTATAAAAATATCAAAATTTGAATTTGTAGTATAAACAGCAATACACTTATCCCTGAGCATAATTTAATTTTTGGCACATTATTTAGTTTTAGCTTTCCACTGGCAGTCTGCCATAAATAAATATATGTGCTCAACTGCTGTGCTGTTCGAAAAGCTGTTGTTTATGAGACGCTGAAGACTTACCATCATAACAAAGACCAGACTTCATACATAGGAGTGTGCAGTTAGGGGGGTCATTACCTAATTCCTAATTCAGAATATATGTGAAAGCATCAAGGTGTTGTCTATAGTACTGTCCATTTGATAGGATTTGTTTACTTAAAAGAGAACTATGGGGGAAGTGTTTTTCCCCATAGTTCTCTTAAGGGTCACGGGAGGACATATACTAACCTGCTCCCGTGACCCAAAGCTCAGTATATCGCGAGCTACAGCTCGCGGTATACTGAGACCGCCGCAGCCAGGATGGATCCCGACATTACTGTTGAGATCCACCCTGCTGCGTGAGTGACAGCTGGCTCTGCCGAT